GTTGTGCTTATAGACTAACAGCTATCAGTCCAACAATTAGACAAATCAGTGAATTAATGAGATCACATTTATCTCTGATTTAAGTTCCCACTTCCTGGTTAGATTGTGTCTGACTTAAAGAAACTGTTGAGTTGTTTTCTTCACAAGGAGCAAGGAAGCAATGTAGTCCTATCCACAGGAAGTTTATCTCTAGAATAACAGAGTTGATTGATGAACATGACAACTTTCCAAAGAGTCATCTGTGCAACGGACTCATTTATTCCCTTGGAGCAGCACAATTTCCTCACCATCAAAACATCCTTGAAGAAACAGCTGTCATTTGAACTACACACCAGAATCAAGCCAAAAAAAACTCACTAACAATCTAGCAAACTTTTGTAGTTTGAACTGGGAAGCAGTTCACCGAATTCAAAAATTAACCCTAATGAAAAATGCAAAAATGAATGCGTGCTAATTGCGCATTGAGATTTGCGAATGTGATTTCAATGCAGCTGTCATGTCTAATATGATCTGGGTGGTTAGTCTAAAATGACATCCGTTATCGTTCGATGCAATGAAATTTTCTGCAAGCACTTTGATCATCGTATTATTTATGATCATATAAACACGATGGATCATCCATCAGAAGCGCTGGTTGAACAGAAATGCCATCAGCAGATAGTCTAAGTTTTCGTTACCTCGACTAACGAAAACTCAATGTTGAACGATTTTACACTTTGCTGCGCATGTGAAATCTTAAGACCTTCATACGGGCTGTGTAAGCTTTCTTTCTGCTTCAGTTGAACGAACTTTATCACTTCTAGTAGTCATGTGAATGCACAGTAGTGCTGACGAGGCCGTTACAGCTTGGCGCAAGGCAGTGCACTGAAACAAACTCAACAGCTCAGTGATAGAATTATGAAAATAGTGATTTCTGAAATGACAAAAACTGGTAATAAGCGATCCAAAGGAACACAGAAGCTGTTATAATTTTAGAAAATATCAAAAATGTTAACTATTGTTTATAGGAATCCAACATCAACACCGTGGAACAATTTCGTTTGGAAACCCTATACGAATTCAACTGCTCAGTATACTGTTCTCGACCTACCTCCAAGGTTATGAATAATCCCTGTTATTCCCATGCTATTTGCCTTCTCTTCGTATATTTTTCGTATTGCTCATTACCAAAGAAATTGTTGCAACTTTCATGACATATTACACTGTTTGCTTGAGCAAGTAATATCCCTGATTGGTGAAATTTAATTCCGAACAAAAAATTCTGATTGAATCGAGTACCTCGAATAAAATGAACTCAATAAAATGAACATCACGTCGTTTCGGAACTCCATTGTCGTTTCAAAAGTTTTGCTCTCATGCGCATAATTGTGGCTAAGAATTTACACTCAATTAGCATAATCTATCGAAAAGCATTCTAGCTGCTGAACGAACTCAATTCCAGGCAAGCGAAGGGTAGCTTACATTGGCCCGTTACGAATTTCTGGAATAAAGAGGCGATTCTTCTCGAAGAGTATACGATTAAAGAGAAGGGCACTCTAGCGAACACTGACGAATTAACAAGTGAAGAGCGATTACAGGTGAGCAACTTAAATTATCCTGCAAACACCTCATTAAAACGTTGTTCCCCCATAATATCCAAACACTATTAAAACCGTCTCAGTTGATAAATATCATTGGTAAAAGCCAATTTGTTCATGGTACTTTGAACATTTTGAGACCACTCAATAACATATCAATTATGCAGTTGTTCA